TTATGGCAGCATCTTTGTCCTTTATCCCCCAGTGAGGTTGATTCACACTTTGTAATACAGTTAGAGTGTTTTGGATTCCTCATTCCATCATCAGATTTCTCAGACTTACTAAGTGATTGTTTTTAAGTTGATTTTTGTTTTGTTTTGTTTTGTTTTGTTTTTTAGTAATCTCTATACCCAGCGTGGGGCTCGAACTCATGGCCCTGAGATCAAGAGTCACATGTTCTTCTGACTAAGCCAGCCAGGGGCCCCCTAAGTGATTTTCTGGTTCTTCTTCCCTTTCATCTGAGCTCCTAGAAACCCCTGAACTTTCTTTTAAACTTGAAGTATAGCTGACATATAATATTATGTTAGTTTCAGGTGTGCAACACAGTGATTTGACAATTACATACATTATGCAATGCTCATCATGATAAAAGTGGTTCCCATTGGTCAGTTATTATTGACTATATTCCCTGTGCTCCCTAGGTTATACTTTTCATCCCCACGACTTTGAGTTATACAATGCAAATTCTTGACAGGCAGCATGCTCTAATTTTGAAGCTTTTCTTCTCCATATTTCTTTTAAATAAATTATTAACATTCTGAATTCAGAATTTGCATTGTATAACTGGAAGTTTGTACTTCTAAGTCCCCTTCACCTATTTCACCCATCCTGCCACCCTTCTCCCTCTGGTAACCACCAGTTCTCTGTATCTATGACTGTTTCTATTGTTGTTTGTTTATTTGTTTTATTTGTTAGATTTTAGATCATAGGGTATTTGCCTTTCTCTGACTTATTTCAGTTAGCATAATACCCTCTAGGTCCATCCATATTGTTGTGAATGATAAGATTTCATTCTTTTTTATGTCTGGGTAATATTCCACTGTCTATACATACCACATCTTTACCTATTCACCTTTCAGTGGACTTTTAGGTGTCTTCCATATCTTGGCTATTATAAATAATGCTACAATAAACACAGAGGTGTATATATCTTTACAAATCAGTCTTTTCATTTTCTTTGGGTGAACACCCACAGTCACTGAACTTTTTGCTGTGCTTGTCCAAAATGTCATGCAGTTGGTTTCATATGTTATGTAGCCTCTTCAAACTCGTTTCTCTTACTTAGCCCTATGTATTTAAGTTTCTTCTGTGGCTTTTCATGGCTTCTTGCTCATATGTTCTTACCACTGAATAATACACTATTGTATGGCTGGACCACAGTTTGTTTATCTATTCACCATTGAAGGACATCTCAGTTGCTTCCAGTTTTTGGTGATAATGAATAAAGCTACTGCTACATGTGCCTGTCTCTATTTTAACTAATGAAATTATTTATGTCACTCAATCTTCTCTTTATCAGTCTTGCTTGACTTTTTTTTTTTTTAAGTAAGCTCTATATGGGGCTTGACCTCACAACCCCAAGGTCAAGAGTCTCCTGCTCTGGGGCACCTGGGTGGCTCAGTTGGTTAAGTGTCTGACTTCGGCTCAGGTTATGATCTCACGGTTCGTGGGTTTGAGCCCCACGTCGGGCTCTGTGCTGACAGCTCAGAGCCTGGAGCCTGCTTCAGATCCTGTGTCTCCCTCTCTCTCTGCCCCTCCCCCACTCACGCTCTGTCTCTCTCTCTCTCTCAAAAATAAATAAACATTGAAAACAAAAAAAAAGAGTCTCCTGCTCTACTGACTGAGCCAGCGGGTGTCCCAGTCTTGCTTGACTTTTATTTAGTTACTCTTATTAAAGAACCAACTTCAAGCTTTATTAATCTTGCTTAGTGTATTTTTATTTTGTTTCATTGACTTATATTTATGATTTTGGGTTTACTCTGATGTTTTTCTGGCTTCTTAAATTAGAAACTTACTAATTTTGGTCTTTTCTCATATAAAGAATTAAGGTTATGAGAATTTTATTCAAACCCTGCTTTTGCTGCATGCCACAAGTTTTGGTGGTGTTTTCTTGCCATTCACTTCTAAATGTTTTTGATGAAATTGTAGCATACCTATCTGCCAAATTGTGTGATATTCCCCAATATCCTGAGTATGTGTGCAGAAAAAGTTGAAATATAGGGACAACCCAGGCTTAGAATTTTTGCAGGAAAGTACATTCCAACTACTGTATCTAATTTCATACCTCACATCCACATCTCATTTTCTCCCTCCATCTCATTAGATCGTCTTTCTTCAGTTAGAGACTCTCTTTCTCATTGCACTTTCTTCATTTCACTATTGCATCTGTCACACATACCCATCATTAAATGTTAATGCCTAAATTGACTGATAATACTGGGGACTATGGCAGCTTCACAGGGGACTATGAGAGATGGAGATGGGAGCGGGCAAGGCAATTGAGTGGCACTTGGAACCTGAATTGACAGAATTGGTTAAATATCTCTGAAAGTATGGAAGCACCAATATTACATTTAACATAATCTGCTGCTAAGAACTATCACAATTACCCACAAGCGCTCAGTATATTTGCTATATCTGTAATTATCCTGGGCCCTTCTTATAGAAAATGACAAGTGACGGTTCTCCCTGTCCAAGTCTCTTGGAAAAGAGGGAAAGGAACCTCTGCAGAAGGCTAGGTGACACAGATCCAGACACACATGGGAGTAGAGACAGCCAAAGTGACATGGAAACAGAAGCCCTGTATCTAGGCTGACATCCTGGGCAGGATATGTATTAGGGCAGTGTTTTTTGTAAGCTTCAGGGTGTCCCCTCCTTTAGAGGAGTGTGAAATAAATTTAATGGGTTGCAATCAGCATCTATTTTAAGTGAAACAGAACAGAAAGAATAGAAAATAACAGCTTGTGTCACACATGGCATAAGATAATCACTTTCTGTGAAACTTTTTTTTAAATTTTTTTTTTCAATGTTTATTTATTTTTTGGGACAGAGAGAGACAGAGCATGAATGGGGGAGGGGCATAGAGAGAGGGAGACACAGAATTGGAAACAGGCTCCAGGCTCTGAGCCATCAGCCCAGAGCCTGACGCGGGGCTCGAACTCACAGACCGTGAGATCATGACCTGGCTAAAGTCGGACGCTTAACCGGCTGCGCCACCCAGGCGCCCCTCTGTGAAACTTTTTTAATGTGTATGTATGTGTATGTTAGATCATAAGATAAAATGTATTTTTTAACTGTGGGTCATAATCAAAAACAGTTTAAAAGACTCTGGACAAGAGACTTAAAGCAGACATCCAAGTTACATATGGCAGAAGAGAGAGCATAGGAAGAGTATGTGACCAAGGAGGAGATATTTCAGTTACGTCTTACAGGGACTGTTAGAGAAGGGAAAGGATGTTCTGGAGAAAGTGCGTGTACAAAGGCACTTTTGGGGAACAACAGAAGTCCGTGAGGATGGAACCTCATGTAAGTAGGGAGGCATGGCAGAAGATGAAGGTGAAGAGGAAGATAAGTTGAGGTTCCATTGTGAATGGTCTTATACATGAAGCAAACAGGGTTTATTTTGATAAATGTTATTTGTTTTTCAGGCTGAGGAAGCTTTTTTTAAAAAAGGAAGATAAGCCTAGTATCTTGAAGTCCACCGAGGAAAATGATCACGGTACCGTTTATTGAACATAGACAATGGGTCAGTGTTGAACTTCTTACTTTATATACATTAGTTTTATAACTGACTGGCACAGTAACTGCTAATATGGTTGGTATTACAGTGACTCTCGCTTGACAGATGAGCTGACCGAGGCTCAGAGACTTTTAGTTGCTACAGGCCATCCATCTATCAAGTGGAAAGGGTGGGCAGATCTGACCCCAAAAGCAGGCACTCACCATTTCACAAAGATGGAGCCTCTAGATAGCAGCCTCATCACCTGGGAGAGACCAAAGGCAGAGAATACTTGGTTTTCACTCCAGCTTATGGCTCAAGCACAAGCAGACTGCTTTTCCTACTTGTGGGAGGTGAAAGAAATGTCTGGAGGGGACTAGGGTAGGGACCAGCAGCCACACTGTCTCCCCACATCTTCAACTCTTGCTCTTCTGTCTGCAACCCTTTCTTTCCCTGCTTTAGTATGACTACCTTATGTCTCTGCCTTTTTATAAAACAGGGATAATGCTATCTGTTATTAGGGATGTAATGATAATTCCACAAGTTCTTCTTTAAAACACTTTGAGAATAAAGTAGTTACTGCTATTGAGTTGTTCATTTTATACTTTTTTTTTTACTTGCATTTGAGGGTACATTGTTACAGCTCAATTTCCAAGAGCCAGCTGCCTTTTGTTACTCTTATTTTTCTCATTTACATGTGGAGGCTATAAGGCCCTGGGCAACTAAAGTCAAGTGGCAAATTACTGCCTAGCTCAGTTCTTACTTAATTAAATGTACAGTCTCTTTCTCTGGTCTCACTGGCCAGCCTGAGAAGTGGGCAAATCAGGCAGCTAACTACTTAAATATGTGAAAGATGCTAAAAGGCCTCTACCTAAAAATGCCTCCCAAACAAATGATTCTAATTCTACACACTTTCCAGTGGCCTGAAAAAGACACATCCCTTGTGGAGAAAGGGGAACCCTCTTACACTATTGGTGGGAATGCAAACTGGTGCAGCCACTCTGGAGAACAGTAAGGAGATTCTTCAAAAAGTTAAAAATAGAACTACCCTATGACCCAGCAATTGCACTACTAGGTATTTATCCAAAGGGTACAAAAATATTGATTCAAAGGGGTATATGCACCCAATGTTTATAGCAGTGCTGTCAACAATAGCCAAATATCTATCTCTCTATCTATCTCTCTATCTATATCTATACCTATCGCGGAATATTACTTGGCATTCAGAAAGAATGAAATCTTGCCATTTGCCATGATGTGTATGGCACTAAAGTATATTATGCTAAGCAAAATAAGTTAGTCAGAGAAAGGCAAATACTATATGATTCTACTCATGTGGAATTTAAGAAACAAAATATGAACATAGAGGAAAGGAAGGAAAAATAGAGAGGGAGACAAACCATAAGAAACTCTTCATACAGAGAACAAACTGAGGGCTGCTGGAGGGGAAATGGGTGGAGGGATGAGCTAAGTGGGTGATGAGCATTAAGGACACTTGTGATGGGCACTGGGTGTTATATGTAAGCGACAAATCCCTAAATTCTACTCCTGACCCAAATGCTACACTATGTATGAGCTCATTTGAATTTCAATAACAATTTGGAAAAAAAAACACATATCCTTTCCAACTTGTTTAAGGTATGAAGTCACCTGACAGGGATAATTTATTAGCTAACTAATTAGCCTGTCACAGAAGCCACCTGCCTCCAAAATCACCCAGAATAGAGAAGGGATCTGTAAGAATGACACCCAGAATTACATGATTTGATGGGTTAAGGGAGTGAGTAAAGTTAGAGTTAAGAATTAAGGGAAGAAAAAAATCCAGCATTTGAAGCACCATTAGGGAAAGCTAAAACCCTGGAGCAGCCTAAGTACTTAGAGACATATGCATCTCTAGGAGAAAAGGTTTTAAATACAGGAGTAGGTGGGGAGTTAGTTTTGTAATGGGTACAGAGGTTTAGTCAAGGAAGATGAAAAAGTTCTAGAGATGGATGTGATGGTGGTGGCTCAAAAATGTGAATGTCCTTAATACCACAGAACTGCACACTTAAAATGGCTAAAAGCATAAGTTTCATAATTTTGTACACTACAGATATATTCTAGACAATCTGGGACAGAAATAAAGTCAAGGTTGCTTTCACCAATGTTGCCTTAGATGGTATTGTAGTCAGCAGTTAAGATGGGGCCAGTGATCCTCACATCCTAGTATATTCTCCCCTGTGTTGTCCCATCCCACAGTGGATAGAGCTGACCCAAGTAACCAACAGCATACAGCAGAAATGAACTTCCAAGGCCAGCTCATAAAAGACATTGCAGCTTCTAAATGGTTTTCTCTTACATCTCTTGCTCTGAGGGAAGTGAGCCGCCACACTGTGAAAACATTCATGCAGCCTATGGAGAGGTCCAGGGATGAGAAAGTGAGGCCTCTGGGCAACCTGCCAACCCACTGGGGAGCCACCCAGAAAGCAGATCCTCCGGCAGCCCCATCCAACATCTGGACTGCAACCTCGTGACAGAGCCTAAGCCAGAACCACGCGGTTACCACTTTCCTCACCCACAGAAATTGTGAGATACCATTTATAGTTATTTTAAGACACTGTTTTGGGAGATAATCTGTTACATAGAAATTAATAACACACAGGTAGAATGAAGACCTTTCATCAAGTGCTTCAGTCATTTCTGTATCTCTATTTGTTCCTGGATTATATCACAATTGCTTAAAGATATTCAGTGATCCCATTTAGATAAAGTTGCACTTACCTTTATATTTTTTTAAGCTTATTTACTTTGAAAGAGAGACAGCACGAGCACATGGGTGCATGGGAGAGGGTCAGAGCGAGAGGCAGAGAGAGAATCTCAAGCACGGGTTTGATCTGACGAACTGATAGATGGCGACCTGAGCAGAAATCCAGAGTGAGACGCCCAACCACTGAGCCATGCATGTGCCTCTACCTTTATATGTTTTAAATACCCAACAGGTAACTTAAAAATATTTCCCCAAACTGGAGGAGCATTGCTGAATTTCAGACAGTTAAGGGTAGGAAAAGCAATTCCTAAACATAATATACCTTCTCAGGTAATGGGAATGTTTTTCCTTTAATACTTTTTAATGCTTAAAAACCTGAAGGCAGGCCAGTGTTTTAAACCATTTTACTCCTTGGGGCTCCTGGGTGGCTCATTCGGTTAAGCACCTGACTCTTGATGTCAGCTCAGGTCATGATCTCATGGTTCTCTGACAGCACAGAGCCTGCTTGGATTCTCGCTGTCTCCCTCACTCTCTGCCTCTCTCTGTCTCTCTCTCTCTCTCTCATAATAAATGTTTAAAAATGTTTAAATCATTTTACTCCTTAATCTCTTGATTGATTAATACTCCTTGAATGCTCTTTAAATATACTTGTACAAAAAGAGGAGGTGGGGCCCCCGGATGGCTCTGTTGGTAGAGAATGTGACTCTTGATCTAAGGGTTGTGAGTTCAAGCCCCACACTGGGTGTAGACATTACTTAAAAATAAAATCTTGGAGCACCTGGGTGGCTCAGTCGGTTACACATCTGACACTTGATTTCAGCTCAGATTCTGAGCTCATGGTTCATGGGATCAAGCCTTGCGTCTGGCTCTGCACTCACAGCATGGAGCCTAGGATTCTCTCTCTCTTCCCTCTCTCTCTGCCCCTGCCCCGACTTACGCACACACACTCTCTCTCTCTCTCTCAAAATAAATACATAAACATTAAAAAATACAATCTTAACAAAAAGAGAAGGTAAATAAATAAATACAATTAATTAATTTTTAAAACCAACTTAAGAGCTTTGTTAGAGCTCACTTCTTTTCTCTTGGCTCTGTATGCATGTACCTACCTAGAATTCTAATCTCTGCATCTGTGAGTCTCCAGTTTTTCAGCCCAAGCTTGATGAGCCGCAGGGCCCCCTCCAGTTGCTCCAAAAGTCTGGTCAGACTAACTCGTACATCACTCCACCAGGGCAACATGAGCACAGTCAGCTGTTCCAGGATGTACAGCCTGTCAACTTCAAGAACCAGAGAGCAATGCAGGAATTGAATCCATCTCAATGGATTCTTCTTGATGAAGAATGAAGGGATGTGGGAGAAGGAATAGTCTTTATCTCTGCAGCCTACTCATTGTGTGATGACGCAATGAGAATCTACTTGAATTTTGGTTAATATTTTTGTGGAAAGTACTCAAGAGTATACAAATATTATGCAGAATAGTATAATGAAACTATATGTACTAATAAACCAACCTTCAACAAACATCAGTTTATGGACAAGCTTCCTTCATCCTCACCTAATTCTTTTTCTCCTGAATTATTTTAAAGCAAATCTCAGACAGTAAATACAGTTCTTTTTTTAATTTAATTTAATTAATTTATTTTTGATTTTTTTAATGTTTATTGTTGAGAGACAGAGTGTGAGCAGGGGAGGGGCAGAGAGAAAGGGAGACAGAATCTGAAGCAGGCTCCAGGCTCTGCAGAGCCCAATGCAGGGCTCAGACTCACGAACCTTGAGATCATGACCTGAGCTGAAGTGGATGCTTAACTGACTGAGCCACTCAGGTGCCCCATATAGTTCTTGAAAAAAAATGTAATCACAATATCACTATCACACTTTAAAAATCTTGTCATTGGGGTGCCTGGGTGACTCAGTCAGTTAGGTGTTTGACTTTGGCTCAGGTCAGGATCTTTCAAACTCAGGTTTGTGAGTTTGAGCCCCACATCAGGCTCTGTGCTGACAGCTCAGAGCCTGGAGCCTGCTTCAGATTCTGTGACTCCCTCTCTTTCTGCTCCTCCCCTGCTTCCACTCTGTCTCTTTCTCCAAAATAAATAAACATTAAGAAAAGAAAAGAAAAGAAAAGAAAAGAAAAGAAAAGAAAAGAAAAGAAAAATCTTATCATTAACTCCTTAAACAAATTCGTTTTGAGTATCAATTAGTCTCAGACACTGGCCCCCTAGAATGAAGCAAGCAGTTGGGAGCCTCAGGTGTGATGAGCGTGTGAAAACTGGTAGCTCAAAGTCATTGGTCTGTGTCCCTTGAGGGATGACTAGTAAGGCACACATGGACCAAAAAACATCAGGGCCCAGATACGTGTTTCTGACTATCTAGTACATATACTCAACTATGTGATTTTGGCTAAATTGTTATTCTTACTCAGTTCATGTAGAGCTTCATTTCCATCCTTTTCCAGGTGATTTTCAGATAAATCAAGAATGCTCAGTTTGGCCAAATTGTGAAGATTCTGAGCTGGGAAAAAATTTCAATCCAAAATTAAAAGGCTTTTACAGAACTATATATGCATTTAAAAAATATCCTTAAGAGAATCCTAAGTCCTTGTCTTCTTTGTTGATAGCATACACATCATTATTTGACCTGATTAGTTAAATTATTTAATTATTCCTAAAGGTATCTGGCTAGATTTAACCCTGAACTTTCATGGCTATGACTAAATGGACAGATAGATATTTCCAGTCCTAAGCTCTGACTAATAAACTTCATGTAAAGCCTAATGCAGCATAAAATATACTTGTTACATAACTATAGGAAGGTCACTCCATTTCTCCAAGCTTCCACTGAAGCTTCATCTTTAGAATGAGGAAGTTGAGGGGCGCCTGGGTGGCTCAGTCAGTTGAGTGTCTGACTCACAGTTCCTGAGTTTGAGCCCTGCATCAGGCTCTGTGCTGGTGGGGTGGAGCCTCCTCAGGATTCTCCCTCTCCCTCTTTCTCTGCCCCTTCCCTGTACACACTCTTTCTCTCCCTCTCAAAAATAAACTTAAAAAAAAACACACAAAAACTTAAAAACAAAGAACAAGGAAGTTGAACTAGATAAAATGCAAGATTGTTTCCAATTCTAAAATGTCCTTATGCAGGAGAAACAAAGGAACAACAACAAAAACAGATGAAATGAGCAGTTCTTTGTTTATCTTAATTTAAATGATTTTGGTAATGTCATAGTTGTGATGTTAATAATAAAAACTTAGGAAGTAAAAAAAAAAAAAAAGAGAGGTGAGAAAAATAGAAAACAAATAGCAAAATGGCAGATGAAAATCTATCCACATCAATAATTACATTAAATGTAAATGGACTAAGCACTAATTAAAAGGCAGAAATAAGACTGGACTTTTTTTTTTTTTTCCCAAAAAGCAAGACTCAATTCCATGCTATCTGCAAAAGATATAATTATGTTGAGGTAAAAAATATGGAAAATTATTTTACACGCAAACATTAATCGTAGAATACCATCACTCTAGCTAAAAACTGCTTAGTTCTTTTCTTTACATTAGGTATTTATCATGGTTGTTTAATCTAATTGAAGTTTCTCCTATCAAGATTAATAAGAAATATCTCTAATTAAAAGAGGTTTTTCATGATATATACTCTTATTAAACTATTAGCTATTATTATTATTATTATTATTATTATTATTATTATTAGCTGTTTTTAAAATTATTTTTTTACGTAAGCTCTACACCCAACCTGGGGCTTGAACTCATGACCCCAAGATGAAGAATCACATGCTGTACTGACTGAGCCAGCCAGTTGCCCCAGCTATTATCACTTTTACTCAATTGTAGAGTAAAATAACTTCTGGGGTTTGGTGCTTTAACATAAAAAACCCATGGAACTTCTCTCAAAAAGAGTACAGCTGCTATTTATAGTTCTAAGTCTGTCTGTTTCCAGGATCAGGTAGAGAAGTAAGGATCTACTTATCCTTGTTTTCCTAGTGTTTATCTAGCCTCTTCTAATCATGGGTTTCTCTAGCTTTTGGTTTATAGTAGCATACAAATGATTTCATTTTACAGATTCCAAGAAGTTTTTTTAAGTTTATTTTTTTAAGTTAAAAAAATTTTTTTTAGTTTATTTGTTTTGAGATAGAGCACAAGTGGAGGAGAGGCAGAAAGAGAATCTCAAGCAGGCTCTGTACTGTCAGTGTGGAGCTCAACATGGGGCTTGATCTCACAAACCATGAGATCATGACCTGAGCCAAAATCAAGAGTCGGACGCTAACTGACGGAGCCACCCAGGCACCCCAAGACTCAACTCTTATATTAATGTACGTTAGCTGCATTTTAAAAGGGCAGTGGGTAAGAATTGGATGGCCTGAGAACATTTAAGAAAATCCTTCTCTCTCTGCTTCTCAATCATTTATTTATCCATCATCTAAATATTTATTAGGCAGTTATTATATAACAGAGCATGTGCCAAGTTTCAAGCACCTATTTCTTCTTTTCTTTTTGTTCACCATATCTTAAAATTATAATATCTTCCATTATTCTGAAATGTTCTCCTAATTCTCCATTTTCATTCCAGTCATGGAGAAGATCATTAAAAACAGGCTAGATATTACCTGGAAGTCTTTATTATCTTTTCCAGTTTCTCTAAAAATTAAATTTCCTTTTGAGAGACTTAACATGCATTAGTATGAAAGTATCACATGTTCTCTTACACTGTTCTCATTCACTTAATGCAGGCAACAGTTACCTAGGGTTTTCATAGCATTGGCAGACAGGCAGCAGGAGACTAATTGGATTTCTTCAAGGTCACAGGGTTCAGCTGA